ATCAGGAAATAGCATACACTGCAGGCAAGCTAATATACCCCCTATGCAGAATTACCCCTATGGATGACAGCCATTAAGTGAAGTGAATTTTAGATTGAGCTGCAGGAATTTTCTAATCTGCAGTTAGACACACAGTTCCCAAGGTGTAATGCAGTTTAAGAACCGAACCGGTTTTCATGTAAAACAGTTTGAAAGGTATCAATGCTCCATTGAGCCAGCGGGTTCTGTCATTTTACATGCAATTTGCTTCAAATGTAAGTGTCAGAAGCATTCTGGGTATGGTGCTATTGTGATTTGGTTTGAATAGGTTTCTAATGGCTTCACCCTTTCACTTTGGCTGAAGTGTTTAGAAATTGCAGTAGTTAGGTTTCCATTCAGCCCCCAGACAAAAGCAGAATCAGGTGACAATGTGAGGATCTTTATGGAGAAAACTGTTTTTTTGACTGCCAGGCCAGTGTTTTTAGAATCACTAATGGTGTGAAATCAGGATCAAGAAAAACCAGAGAATCAGCAATCCTTCCTGAACATCTCAGCTTTTAACACAATTATTTTTGCTAGACTGGTCCCCATTTGTGACCAGTAGAATTGCTTTGCATTGAAAATGGAGATTAAAGTTAATAACAGTGTTTCCTTCCAAAAAGAAGCCTCTTTTCCGTAATCCCTTTATTTTTATTCATATTTTGGCAAGTTAGCTTTAAAAAAAAATTAAAATCATAATAGAAATTGTAATGCAAGGAATTCAGTATGAAGTAAACAATCAAATGTACACAATGAACTAAATTAAGCCATGGTATAATTTTGCCAAAGATGGTTGCTGCAAGGATAAATCTGAATTCATTTCATTAAAGCCATGCGGATACTTTTATCATCTTAGTGCCTGATCTAAATCCCACTAATGTAGGAGAAAGACTTACCTTTTCGTCACTGAGCTTTGGATCGAGCCCATGCAGATAGAAACTGCCAAGATCAAAGAAGAAAGGGAGGCTAATGTTATTGTACAATTATTTTAATCACTTCTTTGAGTGAAACATTGCACAGATCCCTATTAAATCAGGACTTTGTTTAGATGAACATACCACCTGACTCCATAAATGCTTAAAGGGTGCTGAGGGAGTTGGCTGATGTGATTGCAGAGCGGTGGCCATTATCTTTGAAAACTTGTGGCTATCAGCAGAAGTCCCAGATGATTGCAAAAGGGCAAGCAGGGCCCATCTTTAAGAAAGAGAAGAAGGAGTATCCAGGGAACTACAGACCAGTCAGTCTCACCTCAGTCCCTGGAAAAAACATGGGGCAGGTCCTCAAGGAATCTACTTCTAAGCACTTGGAGGAGAAGGAGATGATTAGGTGCAGTCAGTGTGGATTCACCAGGGGCAAGTCATGCCTGAGCAATCTGATTGCCTTCTGTGATGAGATGACTGGCTCTGTGGATGCAGGGAAAGCCATGGGTGTGATATATCTTGACTGTAGCAAGGCTTTTGATACCATCTCCCACCACATTCTTGCAAGCAAGCTGAGGAAGTATGAGTTGGATGAATGGACTGTAAGGTGGATAGAAAGCTGGCTGGATTGTCAGGACCAATGGGTAGTAATTAATGGATCAATGTCTAGTTGGGAGCTGGTATCAGTGGAGTGCCCCAGGGATCATTCCTGTCACCAGTTTTGTTCAATATCTTAATCAATGACCTGGAAGATGGGATGGAGTGCACCTTCAGTAGGTTTTCAGATGACACCAAGCTGTGGGGAGTAGTAAATACACTGAAGGATCGGGCTAGGATTCAGAGAGACCTAGACAAATTGGAGGATTGGACCAAAAGAAATCTCATGAGGTTCAGTAAGGACAAGTGCAAAGTCCTGCACTTAGGACAGAACAATCCCATGCACCGGGACAGTCTGGGAGCTGACGGGCTGGGCAGATGCTCTGCAGAAAAGGCCTTGGGGATTACAGTGAACAGTAAGCTAAATATGAGCCAACAGCGTGCCCTTGTTGTGACAAAGGCTAACAACATAACAGGCTGCATTAGCAGGAGCATTGCCAGCAGATCAACGGAAGTGATTCTTCTCCTCTACTTGGCACTGGTGAGAACATATCTGGAGTACTGTGTCCAGTTTTGGACCCCCCACTATAGAAAGGAGGTGAACCAGTTGGAGGGCAGTGGAAATGGTTTGTGGGCTGGGACACCTGATTTATGAAGACAGATTAAGGGAACTGGACTTATTTAGTCTGGAGAAGAGAAGACTGAGAGGGGATTTAATAGCAGCCTTCAACTACCTAAAGGGGGACTCCAACGAGGATGGAACTGGACTGTTCTCAGTGAGGACAGAAGACAGGACAAGGAGCAATGGGCTCAAGTTGCAGCAAGGGAAGTTTAGGTCAGTTATTAGGAAAAACTTTCTCTCTAGGATTGTAGTAAAGCACTGGAACAGGCAACCCAGAGAGGTGGTGGACTCTCCATCCTTGGAAGTTTTTAAGACCCGAGTAGACCAATCCTTGGCTGGGATGATGTAGTTGGGGCTGGTCCTGCTTTAAGCAGGAGGTTGGGCTACATGGCCTCCTGAGGTCCCTTCACACCCTCATTTTCTATGATGTTTTGATTCTGTGATACAATTTGAGTTGATTGTGCAATCTACAAATAAATGCCTGCATTTCCACAAGTTCTGTGAAACAAGCCCTTTTTGTTCCCAAAGGAATTATGGGTCTTGGGTTTAAAATTCATTTTAATTTCATGTTTTTTCTGCCTGGCTTTTTGATTTTTTTTGTGATATGTATCCATGCACTTTATTATTGCACATATTGTTGGTATTTCTGGGTATCTACCTCATATGAACTTTGGAAACTGAAATTATCCTTCAGGCATAAGAAAGCTAATTGGAAGGCTGTGACCCGTGGAAATGTCTGTTTAAGCTACTATTTAGATTTTTCATTGCTCTTCAATTGCTCTCCGAGGGCTGGAGACTTAATATCCCTGTGCATGAGTGCTGTACAGTAAATGAGAAACATTGAACTTATTGGGTTTAATCTGTCATTTCTTGAGCCCTCCTGGAAAATCTCAGCGTGGAAAAAAAGGTTAAGGTGCTACTGACCACTTTATTATAATACCCAATTAAGCACAGAAATGCCCAGCCAAATTGTGTTTTACTTCTGGGAAGTCGGCATGTTTTTAGAAGAAATGGGTAGACGCGGCATTGACCTGTGGCTCCAGAGAGCTGGGTTCTAGTTTTGGCTTTACCACTGTCTTGCTAAGCCATTTTGTGCCTCCTTGTGCCAGGCTGGGAAAATGCCATTTATCCCTTTCTCAAAGTGGTTTATGATCTACTGCTGAACTAGGTAGTGGTATGATGAAACGTGCTATTAAACCTTATTACTAAACCAATGATAGCGTTTAATAAACACAGTATTAAACACTATTAATAATAATAGTATTGTGCCAGCGCTGAAGGAAACTGAAGTCCTTTATTTCTCCGAAGAATGGGTTCAGCATAAGCGGGGAAGCCTTCCACCAGTATAGCTCTGCCCCAGCGAGATACAAATCCCTTTCTTTGCTTGTTTAGGCAGGTTTGACCAGTACAGAATGACAGTGCTGGGTTTTGTGATCTGAATCCTTTCCTACTACCAACTGGACGTGGCCCATGACATTCAGTTCACACATGCCACCAAGCAGTCACTGGACGGGAATAACTTTCAGGTCCCATCGAGCTGAATGTGAGCCAGTAACCTAGCAACAAACCCCTTTATTGTGCAAAACTTGTGTTTATTTATTTACCGACATTTGGACTGGGAGTATTGGCCAACCCTATTTTTTCCGGGTCCTAATCAGTTCTACGTTGTAGCATAGCAACAGCCGTTAAGTCCTTGGGAGGTCCCATGGAGTTGTTACAACGTATCTTTTCTTGGCCAGTCTAGTTTAGAGAAACAAGGCCCTTAATGTAGTTAGGTCTGATTCGTGCTGCCGGGAAAATGGTGTTGACATTTCCTTCTGGGAAAGAAAGTGTGTAAAAACAAATAGTTCTGGTTAACAGAAAAGCGTCGTAACGGAGATGGAGCTGTATTGTCCCGTATCATTATCCGTCCCCACCCACTCATCATGAGGCTTTCCCATAAAGGTGTAGGGGGTAAGTAGCAAAACAGATGAGAAATTCTTCCCAAATGAAATTCATGATAGAGAGAAGTGTGTATGTGTGTGCACGCACATGTGTGCATGTGTGTATGAGCATATGTGTGCGTGCAGGGGGGCGGGGAGGGAAGGGGATGGAGGCACACACCCTCATAATTGCTTTTATATTTCTCTCTCTTTTTCTGTCTACTGGTTGGTCTACATAGGTTTGTGATCTTAGGCATTCTTCCAGCTAGATAACTGTAGTCCTTTGTTTCAAGTGTTACAGGGACATATTGCTGAAACCCCAGGTTCAAACCTTCCTTCTAGCCAGAGCCAACTAATTTATCCCAGCGCTTGAGTACTGGTGAGTAAAAGATACCAAGGCTCACACTTGCAGTCTATATGAAGTACAAAATGGAAACATATTGCATACAAGGCAAAAAAGTGGATCTTAAATATGCTTTCCTTGTGAGTACAAAGTCTCGAGCTGAGGCCCCTTTAGAATCAGAGGAATAGGGCAGGAGACTCATTAATTGTGAACTGCATGGTTTGTAGTTTGGGAAAGAGCCTGGGTGGAGCAGCACAGCATGCTTGAAATTGCTCCTCTCAGGCATGTTCAGTTTATGGTTGTAAACACGACCAGGGTTGAACAAAGAAATATTAGACATAGATAGCAGGAAAACTTACATACACAGCTTGCGTGCAATGTTTAATCTCCATTGTGACCCCATTGCTTGTCCTTCTGTCTTCTGCATTAAGCAATGAATCCATGTCACGCATACATTTTAACTTCCCACAATGTTTTTCTCCCCAAGAAGAGGTCTGCAAGGTTTTTCTGGGTCATTCACGAGTGTGGCTCCCTATCTACCTAGCGTACATTAATTGTTCTTTCTTTCTGTTTTCCAGGTCGTGGCAATGCACTCAGACTGCGTCTTCAAAAAAGAGCAAGAGGCGTGTCTGGAGAAAATCAGAAGAGTGACTGTGCTGAATCCCATGAATGATTCCTCCCCAGGTGAATTCCAGTCTGGGGTGGAGATATGCATCTTGAATGAATGCTTTCCAGAGCTTTCCTTTTATTATGTGTGGGAGGGACACACAATACATTACAAACAAGTTGGTATACGAAGGTTACCAACTGAGGTGAAATTAAGGAGAATAGACATTAAAAGGGAATATGCTTTCTTCCATTAGATAGGTGCTTTTAGGGACCTGATCCAAACCCTACTGAAGACACTTGAAAGGTATTAGATCAATCCCTGTGTTCTTTAGGAGCATCAGGCACCAGCCACTATTGGAGACCGACTAGTCTATTAAGCCTGTGGACAGATATAAATTGTATCGGCTTCAGTTTATGTTGGCGTAAGATATTCTGATGTAACTGTTATGTCTGTTCCTAAAGCAGTATAAGTAGAGTGAAACCCTTGCACTATCAACACTGTTTCAAACAAATTTGAATGTAGGGATATTTATCTCATTTATATTGCTAGGGAAACAAGCAGCTTTAAATTAGAAGAGCTGATATGCCCTCCCAAGTACTGAATCCCTACCTACCACCTTTTACAGTAGTTTAAAGGAGGTGTATAGTGAAACCCCTAATGTCCCCTTTGTTTGACCATGTTTCCACTCCAAAAGTGTCAAGGCAGGGTTTGGGAGGCTGTCCATTAGCTCTTTGCCACCAGATCATCTTTTGCTGTAGGTTAAGTTTCCTGGGGCCAATTTAGCTGGCTTTTATGGGCAGAATCAGGTAGTGGCCCAGTGCAAAGTGGTCCCGTTGGAATCGTGCAGTTCAGCTTGTACAGCAGCAGCAGCAGGAGCCTGCTCTGTTGTGCAGCTACTTGCTAGCAAACTGAATGCTTGATGAAACCAGAGCAGAACACAGGGGACACCTTTCATTTTACCCACAGGCTTGCCCTATTATTTTTGAGATCCACCCTAGTCTTCTCTGGTGCCATAAATGTGGGCAAGTGAGAGAAAGCTTTGCTCCCCTGGAGACCTCTATGTGCAATTACTTGTGGTAATACCAAATGATCAGTTGGCAGTTGCTTAGATGTGGAAATCTCTGGGATGGAAGAAACCATTAGATCACCTACTCCTTCTTCTTGCATAACACAACCTGGAGTGTTACGCAGTTATTCCTCAGCCATTATCTTTGAGAACAGAGTGCATTTATCAGCCTGTTCACTGATTTTTTTTTTCTCTTACATGCCTAAGGAACTCAACTCTGGACAGAGTTAGGACTGGAGCTACCACCACTGCTACGGGGCCATTGTGTCTACAGAGTCCTTCCTCACACAGGAAGGAAGTGATCTCTAAAGACCCCATAAGCCCTTGGACTCCCCTTGGGATTGCAGGGAGTGGTAGGGGCTGCTTACTCAATGCCCCCTTCCTCTCCTTGAGTAACTGGGTGGGAAGGATGTCAAGTGGGAACAAGCTATGGGTGCTTTTAGGGGAGAAAGCTGCATGCATAAAGGTAATAATATGTATTCATCCCCTAGCCAAGACTCTAAATGCATTTGTTCTCAGCCTCTGGGAGGGTAGTAAAGTACTGGAACAGGCTACCTAGAGAGGTGGTGGATGCTCCATCCTTGGAGGTTTTTAAGACCCAGGTAGACAAAGCCTTGGCTGGGGGGATCTAGTTGAGGATGATCTTGCTTTGAGCACAGGGTTGGACTAGGTGTGACCTCCTGAGGTCCCTTCCAGCCTCATTTGCTATGACTCTGTGATTCGATGTCCAATAGGAATTCCCACACCTAATCAGACTAATGGCCAGTTTCCTGATTCCAGTGCTAGCTAGTACCGGATGATTCACAAGAAGGTGCAAGAATCGTTGTAATGGAGATTTACGGTATTATCTGCCCATGGGTCTTGTCCTGCTCCATCGAGATAGGGTGCATTGTGTTGGCACTCCAGCAGCCTTCTCAAGGTTCAAATGAAGTCTGTCATTTGATCCTCTCCCTCAGCCTTGAACTCTGCAAATAAATCTAGGTGCCGCTATTCTTTGGACACTTGCTGGGGTTTCATTTAGGCGATCCAGGGTGCGTCTACATGTTCATGAATGCACTTTAAATACGGTACATTTACTTTAGTACTTCCTTAATAAAGTACTAACTAAATGTGCTGTACCTAGACGTATTGCACAGTAGCACCGGCGCACGGTTATTTAGTGATACTTACTGGGCATTAGCCTAATAACACTGTGCAGTAGGCTATGAGCATAGTTTTTGCCATGACACGCTATTGAGCAGTGTTATTAGGCCAATGTGTAGTAAACATCTTGTGTAGACGTGTCCCCAGCGAAGGAAACAGAAGTTGCTGTATTTCACTGCCTTAAGGTCTGCCTGAACTGCTATCAAACTGGGAAACACAGGTGTTAAATTGACTGTTCCTAACACAATAGTGTATTTGCTTTGACAGTACTTATGCAATACTTTCAAACGTAAACTAATTAATTCCCAGGTTCTCTTGGGAGATGCAGTATTATAATCCTTTTCACAGAGCTGGGGGAAAAGGAGATAAAACATTCAAGTGATTTAGTGAAGGTCACACAGTAAGATATTAGCAACGTCAGGCTTAGAGCTGCAAAAAAGATTAAATGAAAACAGGTTATTCACTGAAAACTACAGTTTCAGGGTAGCTGAATCGATTTCCCAAATTTGAATTTGGTGAAGAGTTTGGGGCAAAAAAACAATAAAATAAAGTAGAAATGAAGTGTTTGACTTGTTTTGTAATCTCAGGAATTTGGCTGATTTTTCAGGTTAATCTGAAATGAAGCTTTGGCTTGTTTTTCTTTAAGCTTGATTTGACCACAGAAGCAAAAAAATCAATTTTTCACACAGCTTGGCTAGGTATGGCTAGGTGGTTGATTCCTTAAATCAAGCCATGCCTGTGTCCTTTAAATTATACTTTTTGGAGTAACTTTAAACAACAACAAGGGGTTCAGTCATACCTTCTGCTAAACAGCATATGCTGTACAGAACCTCATTCTTCACTGGCATAGATTGGCCTTGCTCCATTATTGAAACTGTTAGTTTACAGTGGTCGAGGATTGGATCCTCTACAGTATCTAGAAAAGGATATCTGGGAGTTCATATGCAATACTGATCCTGCACAGATCTGCAGTGTGTGCTGAGAACCCAGAGGAAGGATTGCCTGTAGGTGTAGTCCCATCTGCTGCGATTGTGTCTATGCCATTGTGAGATGTTAACACAATGCTTGAGTGGTGAATTTACAAAGTCGGAAAGAGAATACTAGTGATAGATCTAGCTAGTTAGGGGTCTTATTACACCTTATGCTCCGAGATGCACAAATGTTGATCGGTGTTAGTGTTAGCTTGGAGTTTGGAGCAGTTGCACCCTTAGTCTAGAAACCTTCTGTGACCGTCCCCCACCTGCACAGCTGTGACTTGCCACTGGAGGCCTGGTGAGCAGGGGCAGGACTAGGAGCTGTAGCTGTGAGTTGCTCCTAGAAGGCTGGTGAGACAGGACAGGTTTCTATCCCTGCTCTGTGGGTAGGGGTGTGTGAGATCCTGGGATACTGGAGGACTTCAACTTGACAGCACATTTGTGGGCAGTGGCCACATCTTAAAGGAACAGGAGCTGGGTGGTACGGATCAGAGATAATTCTGCCCTGGAGTGGCATACTAACAAGTGCTTAAAACCACTTTAAGGTGTTAATGTGTGGACTACCCAAGGGTTAAGTGCTCCAGGACCTGTCCAAAATTACCTTGTAACAAGGCCCTAGGGAGTCATATTTCTACCAAAAGTGTTGTTTTAAGATCCAGTTGTAAGTGGGAGTTTTGTTTTGGGAGAGAAAGAGAGTTAATGCCAGTATTATATCTAAATCCTACAGTAGTCACATTAGGCCAGATTTTGTTCTACCTCTTAGGGCTGTGTGTAGATGAAACGAGGGGCATGTGTCCACGGCACTATAAAAGCAGGCTAAATGCTTTTGCACTGCTTTAATGGTGTCAGTGTTTGCATGCCTTGGCGGTATATTGTACAGTAATTCCAGCTGCTCTAGGAAATTCAGCAGCACAATGCACCCTAAATGACTCGGGGCGCAGCAAACTAAGACCCTGAGGAGGAGTTTTAGTTTGCTGCCCCTACAGTCGTGGAGTGAAGCACTGAGCTCTGTGCAGATCAGAGGCTCTGCAGGAAGCCCTGCAGGCAGCCTGGCAGCAGCCCAGGAAAGCAGCTTCACCCAAAAAAGTGGGGAGCCTGATTTCCGCCCCCCACCACTATACACTATATAGTGTATAAGACAGTGCCTAAGCTGCACAGGGGCCCAGTGCTTCTCTCCACAGCTGCAGTACCCCCTGGGACTGCCCAAGCTGGGTGCCTGCAGATGAGTGCTGCCTGGGGAGGGGAGGGTGAGCACCAGTCTTCCTCCCCTCCTTAGCCCAGGGACCGCTCTGCCTGCTGGCAACTCGCCCTCCCCTCCCCGCCAGAGAGGCAGGTAAGTCAGCAGGGTGGTGTGCATGACACATGGATTTAATCAGCCCTAAATTGAAGCAATGTTTTTTTAAAACCCACCACTTTAATTTAGGGCCCCTGTTTCGTCTGCACGTGCCCTAGGTGATAAAATGATGCTTAAATGTGAGTCTATTTGACTATACTACAGAGTCCCTGAAAAATAGTTAATGCAAAAGGTGGATACATCCTCCTTCTCCTTGCTGCTTTTTTTTTGTTACTGCGTAAAGGGGAAGATGAGGGTGTGTTACAAAAGTAGAGACATTAATGGCTTTTCATGGACCTGAACGGGGTGGGATAGACTCACCCTTAGGTAGCTAAGTCCATTTAGATTCCATCCATCCATGAGTGGAGTTGAATTTAGTCTTTTCTGTCTAGTCTGAATCTCACAGCATCACCGATTATTGTTCTTCATCCCCTATCCTAAAATATGTAGTTGTGCTGTCTGCTTTAAAGAAGGCCATTTTAGAGAGGCTGGAAACGGGCTTTTCTCTGGGACTATAGAGGATAGGATTAGGAATAGTGATCATAAACTGAAATGATG